TCTAACATAAACTACAGACTCTGAGTGATAATGCTCTGTCAGTGTAGGCCCATCCATTGTAACAAATGTACCACTGGGTGGGGGTGAGGCTGTGGATGGTATTGGTAACAGTAGAGGCTGCGTGTGTTGGGTAGTATTTGGGAAATACCTTCTATTCAAATTTTCTGTGAACTTAAGTCACTCTTAAAAAAATACTCTATTTAAAAAGAGATTTCTGAACACTTGTCCAAGATTTGCTGAATCAGAACTTTTGCTATGGAGTCCTAGTATCTATAATCTTTAAAGTACTCTGTGACTCTGATGATCACCCTGGTTTGCAAATGAGAGGCCAAATTGCAATTGAAGCTGAATATAATCAATTGGAAATTATGAAAGGTTCACATAAAAATTGTATAAGGAAACTGGGACATTATGAAGGATAATGACTTAAAGAGAATGGATTCCCCCAAAATCTCATTATGCATTGTCATTCATATCTGAGTCATGTTCAATGTGTGTATGAAAAGTGATGTCCTTCTCAAATGACCAAAGTTATAAAAACAAAAGAAAAAAGAGAGAGAGAGAATGATGTTTGACACTGTGGTTCTATGGACCCTACTTTGAGTAGTAAGGTCATAGACTGTAAACTCAATGAGGACAGAGCTCTCTTTGTTTCTGTCTATGTACCTAGCATCTCTCATAATTCCTGGCACATGGTAGGTCCTCACATTGTGTCTGTTGAATGAATAAATCTCCCCCTCCTGTAAGAATACCTGGGTCTGATTAAGGCTTTTTTGTGTGTTTTCCATAAAATCTGTGTGTGCAGATATGACATATCTTTGCCAGCATTTATTATAGTATACTCAAGTAGAGCTTTTGCTTGTTTGTTCCTGCTTTCCTTTCACTAATGATAAATTGCCTGAGGGCAGGGACCATATAATTTTCCACCATGTTTCTCAGTACTTAGAACCGAAGGCACTTAGGAAATGTCTGTTAAATAAATAAATGATTTGAAAAGGCAAAATCTGCTTTTTTATCTTCCAAAGTTGCAATTGAGCTTCCACTGCTATGTATTTCCCATATTCTCAGGAGAGTGGATGGATGAAGAGGTGCGTACTGAAGACAAAATAGGAATGGGTGTCTGGGAAGGTACATTCTGGAGCAGAAATTCACAAGTGGCATCATCATTAGATAAGATGCAGGAGTTCAAAGGGCTCAGCAAATGAGGAAATGTCTCCACAGAAGCAGACTCAATACATCAGCAGTTGTTATTTTCAACTGGTGCCTTCTGTCATGAAGAATAGCTGCTCTGCCAGGTCAGAATTGTTTTGGCCACCTTCAAGGTCATTGTACTTTCCCAGATCTGGCACTGAAGCTAGAGGCTGGCAAATCTGGCTTCTTAAAGTGGATTAGGTGGGCCCCGCAGAGAGCTCTGTGTCCTGGCTGCATTCCCAATTCTTACAGCCTAAAGCCCTGGGGATGTTTCTCTGAGGACAGCCACCTCTTTTGTCCCTCTTTGGATCTGAGTTTAGCCCCCCGGACCTTAGCCTTGTGCACTACTTCATACACTCTCATTGTCCACATCTGTTCTGCTACAACCACAAGCTTTTTGTCATCATCATAAGGGTATTCTGGTAGGGAAGACATAAATTAACCCGTGGCCAAAGTCCAGAATCAGAAATTGACTTATATATAACTGTCAAAAACAAAATCAAGAATGAATGAAAGAATGAGTTTCCGTTGAAAAGCACTTGAGTAATGATATGAAATTCCATCTCTGTTTTCTGTCAGTTCCTTAAAATTGCTTAAATTTATAACCCTTCCATGTAAAAATGGGAGTTACATTGAAAGACTTTCTAAACCTTTTCCAGACAATCAGTGAGCTAATTATTTGAACCAGATGAAAGAACTGTCCATGCAGACCCTTCTCCCTTGTCCTAATTTCTGTTTGACTTCCATTGGCCTCTTATTTCATTTTTTTTTAAGATTTTATTTATTTATTTGAGAGATAGAATGAGAGAGAGAGAGCACATGAGAGGGGGGAGGGTCAGAGGGAGAAGCAGACTCCCTGCAGAGCAGGGAGCCCGATGCGGGACTCGATCCTGCGACTCGAGGATCATGACCTGAGCCGAAGGCAGTCGCTTAACCAACTGAGCCACCCAGGCGCCCTGGCCTCTTATTTCAAACAAGGTGATTGGATGCAGTTACTATTTATACAGAGAACAAAGCAAAGAAGTAGTGATAAAAATTTGAAAGTTCATTTCCAAACCCAGCATAAGAAAATGGGGGATGGTCTAAAAATTTCACCTAGAGAGAGGTGACCAGTAATTAAGGAATACTCTTACTTATTCTATCAGTTACTAGATTTTCATATTCCATTGTTCAATAGACTGGCATGGTAGAGTATGGAAAAAAAAGAAGAAAGTGACCAGAGGGACTTGTGGCTTTGTGACTTGTGGCTCTTCTCTCTCTTTTTCCATCCACTCACAGATGTATATAAATACACACAGATATCTATATCTATCAATATATCTATATATCTAGATATATAAATAGAACTATAGATGTGTAACTATATCCATGGATATATAAATAATCTATGCATTAAATATAGATATCTAGGGATAGATGATAGATGATGATAGATGATAGATAGATGATAGATGATCGATAGATAGATGATAGATGTATAGTAGATAATTTTAAACTTACACAGTAGATGTTTTGTAACGCTGCAATAGGATATTTTGGTGGGCAAGCAACCCAGTTAGCTCTACAAGGAAAACTATCTTGTCTGGCTTGTGTGATAACTTCATTGTTGTTTTGGACAACTCTTAGGAGCCTTTCATTTTAATGCCATTTTTAAGCGGAAGGGACATGAATTTAAAATGACTTTGGAAATCTTCCTGAAATATCTTCAGAGAATCCCCTCACCAGGGCAGCCGGAACCATCCTCCACCCAAGGCCCATGGGAGGCAGTGGGAGAGCCGCCCCCCCCCCCCCCCCCCCCCGTGAGAGATGTAAGAAACCATTTCAGGCAAAGTCTGGGAAGACAACTCCCGCCCCTTCCTCTCTGTTGGACTTCCAGCTGCTCCATCTGAAAACACGATGCGCTGAGACCCTCCCAGCCTCTCCATTCCCGGCTTCCAACTAGAGTCCTGGGGAAACAGAATGCGAAATGACCCTCGGGAACACGCCCTCCTTCCCGGAGGAGCGAGAGGGAATGGCCGGGACTGGGCCAGCACCGCCAGGGCGCGGGATACCGCCCAGGCTCTGCCCCAGTCCCTGAGCCACCTCCCTCCGCACCCCCACACCCACCCAGCGCGCGAAGGCACTGTCCCCAGCACCCGCCCCAGCACCACTTTGCTCTGACGTCCGCCTTCCCAGCTCTGACGATCGCCCCCGCCGGCCGCCCTTATAAAGGGGACTTTTGCCAATACTGGGATCGATCGCCACCTCGCCCGCGTCGAGAGCCCTCCGCTCCAGCTCACACACCTGTCAGCTCCGCGCGCGCCCAGGTTCTGGGAGACCGGGGGCTGGAACCCCGCCGCCTGGCCCTACCCCTCGCCCCTCGGCACCCCTGACCCTCCCCCACCCTCCGCACCCTTGGCCCCCCCGACCCCCACGGTGCCTGGGCGGCGGTCCCGGGAGGAGCCCCAGACGGCGGAGCGCTTCCCCGCGCGGCTACCACTCCAGGTAGGAACAGAGCGGGCATCCGGGGCGCCTCGGAGCCCGCTCCGCCTGGGACACGGTGGCCGCCCCATCGGCGTTTTTAGGTAGAAGGGACGCGGCTTTTTCTCCTCTCGGTGGGGATGCGCGGGCGGGCCCACTGTCTGGCACCCATGGCTCTCGAGGTGCATCGGCGGGAAAGTCAGGGCGCTGGAGAGGGGCCATGGGGCCGCGGGAGGGATAGCGGGGAGCTGGGGAGCCCCCGGGCTGGGCTGGGGAAAGAAAGAACTTCCCAGCTCCGGTGTTCACAAAAGCGGAGCGCATCCAGCCTGCCCGCGCTTCTTTCGCTTCCCCTGAATCCGAGGGAGGCTAGTTCTTTCGCCCAAGGTCTCATCATCTACCTGCGGACACAAATACTTGTATTTTCCCCCAGAAACGTGCTTGTGTGAACGCGAGTGCATGAAATAGCCATAGTCACGAGGGCTGAAAAATAACAGAGAACAAGAATTCCAGGAAGTGCAGGCGTTAAAACTTGACATCTGTCTCTTAAAGAGTCTTGTTTTTAATACCTTTGACGCCCTCTTATATTTTTAGGCAATTTTGTATTTTTAAGTCGTTTTCTTGTATATACCATTAAAAGGGTGGGGGAGAGATGAAAAGAGATGAAAAGAACAATGGATGAGGAAGAAGAGCTGGCCAAGAGGGTGCACTCTTTAAACAATGTAACATCTTTAGTTGCTAAAGTAACTTGGACCACAGGCACTTGTTGAAAATTGGAATTGATGTGTTTTTGAAACTGATTTTCCTAAAGTACTTTTCCCCCAGATATTTGCATGTCACATTTCTTCTGGAACCATTCCCTGAAATTGTTTGAAAGGAGAGATAGAGGAATGAATGAATGAATGTAAGACTGTTAGAATTCTCAGAGTAGTCTTACACTACCCTTTAGTTACTGAATAATTCTAGATGGAATAGTAAGTTAGTTCCAAAAGCCAAGTACATAATCTTTGTAAATGATTTCTTGACCAAGTTACAAGGTTAATTTTAAATTGAAAGAATTTATTAGACACAAAAAGTGACGGTGGTTACATTTGTTAAGCAACATTTTCTATTTTTTTTTATTTTTCTCGAAAGCTCAAAACACTATTAAATTGTTAAATAGTAATTAGAATAAAATAGTGGGCATGTGTTCGCAACTGCTAGTGTCATATGTAATTTCAATGTGCTTTTTCTGTAAGCGGCACAGGATCTCTCATGAGCCAGCTGGTTTATTCCCAGCTGCCTATGCATGCTTGGCTGGTTTATAATGCATTACTGTATTTTCTTCAGAAATCTTAATGAAATAGCTAGCTGTGGAAGAATCTGGACCCCTAAATAAAAATGACTTTCCAAGTGGAAGGACTGATAGCTATCATCGTGTTCTACCTTCTAATATTGCTGGTTGGAATATGGGCTGCCTGGAGAACCAAAAACAGTGGCAGCTCAGAAGAACGCAGCGAGGCCATCATAGTTGGTGGCCGAGACATTGGTCTGCTGGTGGGTGGATTTACCATGACAGGTAGGTTCTGATGCCTCCACTCTGTGCTGCCCACCCCTCCTTAGCTTCTCAGAGTGACAAAGCATACCTTAGCCTCTGTCCTTTGGAGATCCCTTATATTCACTGCTTATATATTCTAAAAATAATTTTACAATTTATTTAAAATAAAAATAAAATGGTTTCAACTCAGTAGTACTTGAACAAAATGATTTTATAATAAATCACTGGACAGAATATGGATGAAATGAATCTGGGCTATCTGGACAGTTCAGTGGGTGGGAACAGAGTAAAAACAAAGAGGTGGAGAAAAGTGTCTTAGTCTTACAAGTTATGTGATAAAGTCAGTGTCTCATGTCCACTAACACAGGCACAAAGTTGTGACTTTGGGTTGTCTTAAAAGATGATGGTTTTCAACTAAATAAATCAGTTAGGGGCAACACAATTCCAAATTGATAGATGCCCTGTCTTGAAACCTAATTCTCCCATTTAATAAACTAATTAACTAATTCCCTCAGGGGAAGACAATCACATATTAGGAATCCACAGCACTGGAAACAAAAAAAACAAAAACAACACATGATTTCCATGAACCTTGATATAAAAGGGGAAAAGCTAGGGCGTGTCCTAACAGGAATGCCTCAGCCAGCATCTGCAGCCCTCTCCCTCTCAAACCACCTCTGGGCTCTGAGGATCTGATGCCCTGAGATGGCTCTGTTTAAGTGGTGACTTGTTTCTCTTTTATATTCCTCTTGGTTGTAAAAAATATTTCTGAAAAACAACAATTTAAAATTATATCTTTAATATTCACTAACAACACACATTTCACTTCTGATTCTTACTAGGTTTTTAAACATTAGCAATATAATCCACACTAACTGGAACTCTGAGGGCCCACTGGAAAATATCCCATCAGAAATCATATCCAAATGATGCCAAATTTCAGTCCTGATGTGCTATTCAAACGATTCATCTGTAAATGGAATGGTTTACCAAAGCAATCTGTGAAGACTACATCCCTGCTGGCCATCTGAAACCTACCATGTTCTAGAATAGTTTAAGGACTATAGGTTTTATTTTTCAGATATGCATATTTTATGTTCTTTAACTCTTTGTCAACTGTATATGGTTTCATATGATCTTCATGAAGCTCTTTATGTTTGCGCACCATGAAAGGGCTCTGGGGTTAAGTAAAGACACAGAGTTACATGATTAACAAGGACCAGAATCAGCACCAAACCCAGGTCTTCTGGCAGCCACGCCCTGAAGCCCCTGCAGGGTGCACTGCATGCAGACCTCCAGCTGACTTCACCTCCTTTCTTTATAAAGGCACTTCCTTTGTAAAGAGGTCCTTTTTTTTACCCTCTGTTGCTCAGTTTTTCTACATAAACACATATATAGAGCAAATTGTATCATGCAAAATATTTTCTGTGATAGCTAATATACACAGTTAGATTAAGTACAAAAACAGTAAGAATCATCCATAAGCCTACCACCTGCATATATGTTTACTGAAATGTTGGTATACATTTTCAGATGTGGTTTCTCTTATTATCCACCTATTGATGAACACCATACACAACTTTACATCTTCATTTTCATTGTTTATTATACCATAAACATTTCTTCTCTACCCTGAAGATCCAGATGTGATACTGGCATCTGAAGTGAATTAAAACACTGTGATTATATTCCCTTCAGGTTTTTCCTGTACAAAGAAAATGAGAAGAAAAACAAAATAAAACAGTGAAAGTTGATCTAACTCAAGAAACTGTTGAAAAGAATAAATGAGCTGCTCTATATCAAAGTCTTTGTTCATTGTAAATATTGTTCATTATAATGTTCTATTACTCTAATGTTATATCTATTGTGTTCATAAAGATAATATTTCAGAATTTGTTCTTTTAGCACCTAGAATGATTTTTTCAATGTAATAGTCTATTAAAGTATATAAAAAAAATTTGAATCATGATATTTCATATGAAGTGTCATGGTCTAGCTCATTTTTTAAAGATTTTTTTCAGTCTTTCAGAACTGAAAAGAATCTTGGTCAATATCATAATTCATTTAAAATCTGAACCATATTATCTAAACCTTGTCAGATTCATTAATTGTATATATTTAACAAAGAATAAAGATTAAAAAATAAAAACGCATATAGTTTGAAAGAATTCTTGTTCTCACTGGTGAATCTGACATGAAATATACAGACATGAAGAGCAAATTCTGGCCTAAAAGGGATGAGACTGGTAAAAATGGGAGGACTTTAACATGATAAGTAACCAAGTCTTCACTTCTATATTATAATGTTGATATTCAGTCACCAAGTTTGTTTTGGACAAGGGAGAGGAGACCTGCACAATGAAAAATGATCATTAATAAGACCATTTACTTTATGCAATGAAAACATTGCTTGCATGTTGTTAGCAGTTCCAGTTGCCTAGCAGGAGAATCAGGTCTGATTCTGCATCTGTGAGAATCATTTCTTCAAGTCCTAGTTAGACATACAGTGGAGGGGGGAAACCCTATTTTTTTAATTTTTATTTTTATTTATTTTTATTTTTTTTAATTAACATATAATGTATTATTGGTTTCAGAGGTACAGGTCTGTGATGCATCAGTCTTCTATAATACCCAGTGTTCATTACATCACATGCCCTCCTTAATGTCCATCACCCAGTTACCCCATCCCTCTACCTCCCTCTACCTCCCTCCCCTCCAGCAACCCTCAGTTTGTTTCCTATGATTAAGAGTCTCTTATGGTTTGTCTCCCTCTCTGGTTTCATCTTGTTTAATTTTTTCCTCTCTTCCCCTATGATCCTCTGTTTTGTTTCTTAAATTCCACATATGAGTGAAATCATATGATACTTGTCTTTCCCTGATTGACTTATTTCGCTTCGCATAATACCCTCTAGTTTCATCCACGTCATTGCAAATGGCAAGATTTCAATTTTTGATGGCTGTGTAATATTCCAGTGTGTGTGTGTGTGTGTGTGTGTACCCCATGTTTTTATATTCATCTGTCAATGGACATCTGGGCTCTTTCCATAATTTGCCTATTATGGACATTGCTGCTATAAACATTGGGGTCCTTCGGATCACTACATTTGTATCTTTCGGGTAAATATCCAGTAGTGCAATTGCTGGGTCGTAGGGTAGCTCTATTTTCAACTTTTGGGGAACCTCATAGTGTTTTCCAGAGTGGCTGCACCAGCTTGCATTCCCACCAACAGTGTAGGAGGGTTCCCCTTTTTCTGTATCCTCGCCAACATCTATCGTTTCCCAACTTGTTAATTTTAGCCATTCTGACTGGTGTGAGGTGGTATCACATTGTGGTTTTAATTTGTATTTCCCTGATGCTGAGTGATGTTGAGTATTTTTTCATGTGTCTATTGGCCATGTGGATGTCTTCTTTGGAGAATGTCTGTTCATGTCTTCTGCCCAGGGAAACCCTGTTTAAATTTTCTGGAAGGCTTAGAATGAGAGAAACAAATAATAGCATTTGTTATTTGTTAACACCCATGTAAAAGCTTCCAAGCAGATGAGAGTGGCTGTTAAGTGCATATTTGTCCACTTTAGGATTTTGCATATAAACTTTCCATTTAAATGTGTTTAAAATTCCTTTGAAGGGATGTCTTTTCATGTTAACCTTTAAATAATAGTACTAACCCCACAACATTCTCTTCTTTGCTTTGTATTTGGATCAAAAGCCAGATAAATTTTGGCATGATTACAATAGGTGTCTACCTGTCTTTGACAGTTTCATGTACATATTTTTTTATTTTACTTACATTCTGTGAGATTTCAAATAACTTTTCAGAGTCAAATTTTATTCCCAGTTGGATGATATAGCCTAGAATTCAGACTCATATCTGGTAAGCCAGCCTTTGTTCCTCATAATTTTATACAAATTCTACAAGAGATTCTTTTAAATATTTTGGCAATACTCCTCAAAGGGTATAAACTATAAAGATTTAAGTGTTCCATTAACTTTAGCTTTTCAGCAATAATCAAATATGATATTGCCTTCTCACAGAAAATGGTAGAGTTTATAGATCCTTCTTGGCCCAACCTTGTTTAACCAACATGTGTTTTCTTTGGTTCCTTGACCTCCTCCTTCAACTATTATGTTACAGATATTCTATTAAATAACACCTGAAGAAGATAATATTTCTTATTATTCTCCATGAAATATCAAATTTCCTACTAAAAGACCCAGATTAAAACAAAGAATACAAGTGGGTATGCAGTCAACATTTCAAATTCTAAATTATTTCTTATGCCTAAGTGCATGTTGGGTACTTGGCAAGAGGGAAGGAAAAGATAACTTACACTCACTTTAGGAAGCCTTGGAGCAAAAGTGTCATCTCTCCTTTAACATTTTAAGAAAGTAAGTAAGATGTTTAAGGTGATTAAGAAGTGATCCTATTAATAAAAATAAAATAAAATAAAAAAGCACATGCATCCACAACTGCACATGCACATACTCCCTTTGCCACTCCCCTGCACCAGGAATATAACTGTGATCAATGTGAGAAGAACAATACAGTTAAAACAGAAGGACCTTAAAATAAAGAAACTTGATAAAAAGAAAAAAATAATAAGGAAACTTTACCTCATGTTATGGAGGCTGGAGCGTAAGTTGTACTATTATTGAGAATAGAAATAGTCATATAATATTTTGTATATAATGTCAGACTTTGGGATATAATATTGTTTGAAAATATTGATGACTAAATAGACTCAGAAAAGACCCAGGGGAACACTGTCCAGAGAAATATCATGTGAGCCATAAAGGGAATGTTAAATTTTCTACAAACCATTTTAAAGAACATGAAAAAATAAGGGAATAAATATAAATAATAGAATGTATTTAACTCAATACATTGAAAATGTTTTCATTTCACCAGTTAATTAATACAAAAAAAAAATATTGAGACAGCTTACATTTACTTTTGCATACTCGGTTTTTGAAATCCAATGTGTATTTTACACTCAGAACATTTTAGACCAGAGTAGCCAAATTTCAAGTCCTCAATAGTCACAGGAGGCTAATGGCCATTGTGTTAAACTGAGCAGTATGCTAAGTATGGCCGTGTCTTTCCCTCACTGTTCATTCTATTTCAGCCACCTGGGTTGGAGGAGGTTACATCAATGGGACTGCTGAAGCAGTGTATGTACCAGATTATGGTCTAGCTTGGGCTCAGGCACCAATTGGATATTCTCTTAGTCTGATTTTAGGTAAGTGAAAGTTTAAACCTTAGTGACCCACTCAGTAAAGCATAAAGAACAGGAGTACAAACAGCAAGTGCAATAACAAGTCAAACTGTGAATAACTATTGCGAAAAAAAAAAATGTTACCAGAAATCTCTCAAGTAGATGTTACCAGAAATCGGTAACACTAATGCTTAAGATTATTTGATCCCTTGATTATGGAGTATGTTTTTTAAAAATCCCTTGATCTATGGCAATAGAGTTGTGAATTTCTTAACATATGATTTTTTTTCTTTCAAAAATAGTATAGAGGTATCATTAACAATGAATCAACTTGAATTGTACCTGAATTTCTTTTTGTAAATCAAACTAAGAAAAGGTCAAGAATATTATATAACAGAGTTCCTAATTTTTTTTTTTTGCACTTAAAATACATTTATTGGATCTTGTGCTTAATCAGTGTCTGAATGCTATGCTGGGTGATACAAAGGCATTTTAGTGAGTGCCACACTGGTTTTTCAATCCACATGCCTTGGATACACCATTCAATGGCCCTTTGGCTGCCTACAATGACAAATGTATCAAGAAATTCATGTTTGGTTACTAAATATGTCTTGGTTCTGTACTCACAGTATATTTCAGACTAGTTCTTCCACACATATCAGTGTTCTAAAAAAAATTATTTCCCTTGAGAAATTATAGCATAGTAAAAAGTTGGCAAAGACTATTATCTTATGAATTTTTTATTTTCTCATAAACGCTTGTTTAATTTATTTTAGGTGGTTTGTTCTTTGCAAAGCCTATGCGTTCCAAGGGATATGTGACCATGTTAGACCCATTTCAGCAGATCTATGGAAAACGCATGGGTGGGCTCCTATTTATTCCTGCACTAATGGGAGAAATGTTTTGGGCTGCAGCCATTTTCTCTGCCTTAGGTAAGGACCTCTGCCTCTCTCTGGTTAACAGAACATCACAAACCCAACTTTACTCCCTTAAGCCACAGGCCAGGCCACCTGCAGCCTCCCTCACCTGGATGAATGCAACCATCTCCCCGCTTATTGTTCAGCGCTCCTCCTATATTCTACACATAGTACAGACTCATCCTTCTAAAATGCAAATCTGATCATGTCCCTTTACTGTTCCTTTCCAAACTTTTAAGTAAGTGCATAAAGCTTTTTATGACTTAGGCTCTGATTCTTCTCATCATCGCCCCTCCTCCTTCCTTCTTCCAGAACTCTAAACCTCACCTCCTCTCTTGCCTCTAACACTGTGCAAGTCCAGATGCCCTCTACTTTGGACTCATTCCCGCCTGCCCTTTTGCACATCTGCCTAGCTAACCAGGAAATGTCCTTCAGTCTTCTCTTAGATGTCGCTTACTCGGACCAGTAATCCTGACCCCACTGGATGCCTTTCCTGTGGGCTTCCTTAGGCACCTGGAATTTTGTTTTCATTGGACTTGTCACTTGTATGATTATGTGCCTGTTTATCATGCCCAAATCCAACCTCAAAAAAGGGATTATAAATTTCTTGAAGGCAGGACTTGTGCCTTGTAATCTTATCACGAATGAATGAATGAGTGAATGAGTGAATCCTCTCTACTTTCTTCAAAAGAAAAACAATATTACTTCTTTTCTCGGTGTAATCCTAAAGTACTGAGTTGTACACATGTTTAGGGATCTAGAAAATGAACTGAGACTCCAGTAAATGCTAAGGACCACCTATCCTGGGCTCAATGATTCTCAGCCCACTTAATAAGGTTTAGAAAACGAGAGATTTCAGTGGGATGATGGGAGATTGTCAGTCAGGCTTGATAACCTGCCTTTTGATCAGGGGAAAATATAAACCATTTCACTGAGCGTTGAGTTCCTTCTTGAAGATCAACAGAGTTGGAAGTTCCACAACCTTCCTCAGTGAACTATGTCTGTGTTTGACATCAAGGTATCTATGTATGTTTCTCTCCATCTCTTCTTACAAATGAAGATAAAGGGCTTCAGTCTACAGCTAGACCCCAAGTAGTCAAAGCCAAAGTAAGATAAGATGAATGTCCTTCTGTGGTATTTATTCCAGACCACAAACTTGTCTTCTGGCTTTAGTATTATCATCATATCTAACCTCTGTAATATCAGATATTAGTTTATGTTACCTTTCACTCCTTTCTTTTTGAAACTCCCATATAAGCTTTCCTTCTTGGTCTCCAACGGTAAACTGAATGGATGATTTGATGTAGAAAAGAAGAGAGTTTGATAACTATAAAATGATGTATAACTCAGTTGAAAATGTTGCACTTTCTTGGTGCAATATAATAATACTCCACAATTATCATTGCACTTATATCCTAATGAAATTATGTGTAAAAATACACCTCCCTTCCCACCTTGCTCTCATTAGCCAAGAAGCAAGCAATGGGTAGTTTATTTGTCATTGGTTTCAATGCTAGAAAATGTTGATTTTAAGAACAAGCTGCCTGCTGAGATATTAAAAAAGGAGTGGGCTGAATAGCTAACAAAATACAAAATGTTCACTCTCATGGAATAAAGATCAATTTATATAACAGAGCCCTAAAGGGAGGATTGAATTAATAAACTAATATTTCTTTTTTAAAAAGATTTATTTATTTTAGAGAGAGCACAAGCAGGGGGAGGGGCAGAGGAAGAGAGAGAGAAGCAGACTCCTTGCTGAGTGTGGAGCCTGAAGCGGGACTCGAACTCAGGATCCTGAGATCATGATCTGAGCCGAAATCAAGACTCACACGCTCAAACAACTGAGCCACACAGGTGCTCCAACTAATATTTCTAAAGTATTTTGGAAATATAAACTTGAACTGCACTCTGAACTTTGTTGCAATTAGTTGCTTTTGTATATGTGTGTGTCTATGTCTGTGTGTGTGACAATATATATGTAAAATATGTAACAATATTTATGTAAAATATGTTGATATATATATATCCCTCTCTACATAGATGCACACACATATCAAACAACATGTATAGAATCATTGCTGCTATTGCTTGAAGTATATGCTCTAGTAAACAGAATGTGTATTTTTAATTAACACATATTTTCTTCAAAAATAATAGTTGGACATAATTCAAAATTAGAGTTTATTAGAAATAACTTGGAATGCTTAAGAATAGACAAATATAAGATCTATTACCACCTTCCTGTGAATGTGCTTAGTTCACCACTGAAACTGGGGAGAATTTTAAACTCTCTTCTTGGCATAAAGAGACAACATCCTTCACATGCATTTTTTTAAGAAATACATATTTAGGGGTGCCTGGGTGGCTTGGTTGGTTAAGCATCCACTTCTTGATTTTGGCTCAGTTCATGATCTTGGGGACATGGGATCAAGTCCTGCATCAAGCTCCACACTCAGCTCCCGGTCTGCTTAGGATTTCTCTCTTCCTGTCCTTCTGCCCCTCTCCCAACTCTAAATAAATAAATAAACTCCCATTCACTATAAATAAATAAATAAATAAATAAATAAATAAATAAATAAATAAAATCTTAAAAATGTATGTTTACACTTCTCACAGCTCAAATTCAGTGAATTTTTATAATTTTATTTATAGTATGTTTATTTTTATGGCTGCATGAATAAAGTAATATTTCATAGCAGATCTGGAAGTATAACTTATTTTATTCACTACAAATGATGAAATTATTTAGAAAAAAATTTAGGGGCGCCTGGGTGGCTCAGTTGTTAAGCGTCTGCCTTTGGCTCAGGTCATGATCCCAAGGTCCTGGGATTGAGCCCCGCATCAGGCTCCCTGCTCTGCGGGAAGCCTGCTTCTCCCTCTCCCACTTCCCCTGCTTGTATTCTCTTTCTCACTGAGTCTCTGTCTGTCAAATAAATAAATAAAATCTTTAAAAAAAAAGAAAATATTTTAAGAAAAAGTTGATCCTAATCTTAATAGTGATAGAAAAGTGGGTGACTTCTTTAAAACCTCTAAGATGCAACCAAATGGTAGTATTTCCCAGTATCTAAATCTTTAGAATCCTAGTTCAGTGATCTTTCTTCTATACAACCTCCCTCCCTACCTTTTGGAGGTGTAGAATTAATAAAATTTTCACTAATGGGTAGAAAATTAAACAGAAGTCCAAAGAGGCAGGGTAATAATTGTACTTTTCATAATTCATGAGATATGACTTAGAAATGTTGTTATTAAAGAAGAAAACCAGGCCAAAAGAAGAATGGCAAAGAATTGCAACTAAAGTTTCAACATGAAGTAAATAATTGCAGGAAAAAAAACTTGTTAAATATCTATACAACAATAACTCAGTCAATTATCCAAAGTCACTTATAAATAATTGAAATAATTGACCACCTTCCCTTGTCTTCATCCTCCAATTCCTTACCAGAATTTTCATTTTATTAATTGGCTTTACTCAAGAAAATAATTTTGTTACCAAATCCAAAGCACTAAGAAAAAAAAATCCTGAAAAAGATTTTATATTTTTATCTTAGATCAAAATATTTTATGCTGCTCCTTCAGAAAATGGATTTTCATCTCTGATAGGTTGCATACACTGTTAGCATGCAATTGAGGAGTGGTGGCAGAACATAAGATTGCAATTAATGATATAAAAAAATCACAGATTTGTTCCGTGTATGTTAACTTTCCTATAATTGCTGTGTTTAACAATATAAAATATAAACTATATTACTTTTGAGAACAATGGGGAAAGGATTTGTAAAACAGCAAGTGAATTCTGAACTGGAAATCCAAGAACCATAATGGTCCAATTGTCCATTCCCTAATATTCTTATTGGAAATATAGACACCAACAAACAAAATAAACAAAGTCATAACATAAGAAAAACATAAATTTTATTTCTAAGGCAGGTTTAAAACTCTGATAATGAAAATTACTTAAAAGGATGATATTGAAATCTAGGGTCCTTCAACACATTGGTGTCTTAGCAGTGGGACTGGAATAAAATTTACCAATTTTATTATTTTCTTCTACAAAATTATCTTAAACATTGGTACTTTATACCATCTGTCATCTAAAAAAAGCTAGCGAGGAGGCACCTGGGTGGCTCAGTTGGTTAAGTGTCCAATTCTTGGTTTCAGCTCAGGTCCTGATCTCATGAGTCATGAGATAGAACCTCAAGTTGTGCTCTGCACTCAGTGGGAGTCTGCTTGGATATTCTCTCCTTCTGCCCCTTCCCCTGCTTGCTCTCTATTTCTCTCTCTCAAAAATAAATAAATAAATCTTTAAAAGAATAAAAATAAATTTAAAAAGCTAGCAGGGGTCAGAGTTAATGCAAAATGGAAATTGGGTGATTGTGCTTATCTCGAGGATTTGAGTAAATATAGTGCATATAGCTAGTAAAAACTATTGCAAGTTCTTATAGTAGTATTAAATTTAGTGTATTTCATGGAATTCAGAAGTCATGTCATGAATTTTGGGTGTTGCACATAAACAAGTTACCAAAGCATCAATTTCAGAAAGAAAGAACATTTTTAAACATATGTGTATTTATATACATAAGTATATATATGTATATACATATGCAAATTATAGAGACTTTAAGATTTTTATATGAAAACTTACATTAACTATTATCATCCAATATATTTCGCATGACACAGGGAAAAATACCTGCTGTCACTGATCATTCAGTATATCCTTGAACAGAAAGTGGAATCCATTTGAGTACCTTGACAACAGCATTCTCTTGTCCGCTTTCTTCAGGAGCCACCATCAGCGTGATCATTAACGTCAATGTGCAAGCTTCTGTCATCGTCTCTGCACTGATCGCCACTCTGTACACGCTGGTGGGTGGTCTCTATTCTGTGGCCTACACCGATGTAGTTCAGCTTTTCTGCATCTTCACAGGCCTGGTAAGTGGAGCCATTCACAGACTTTCTTTCTTCTTTTACTTTCCTCTCCTTCTTTCTAAAAGGTAATGTGGTATTTTATATGAACTCAGCAAAAATTAATAGAAATGTTATTTTCCATCATGAATAATACATAGTAAGTCATGTACCATTTGAAATTTTAGATTTCTCAGTGAATTAATTAGACAAAAAAATGTAATCATTTTGCTAGATTTTGACAGAAAATATGCTCTCAGTTTAATTCTTAGAAAGGTCTAGGGCTTCCTTTCCTTCATGCCTACGTTTGATGGAAACTTATGTGTGCTCTTCCTTGAGTTTGAATGCAACACACTTTACTCACAGTTAAAATGTAACTGAGCAGGGAGCCTGAGGTGGAGCTTGATTCAAGGACTGAAGGATTATGACTTGAGCCAAAGGCAGATGCTTAACCTACTGAGCCACCCAGGCGCCCACTGCATTGGTCTCTTAACCTTCCCCTGTAATTGTTTTAAGTGATCCATAAGACTGCTATAAGACAGAAATTATAACATTTGAAAAACTGTGGGTTTCAATATTAATCATCACTATTTGTGGTCTAAAAACAAAGAAAAGGCTTAATTATATAAGATACTAGAAATATTTATTATATATTGCTTATAAATCCTAAACTAAATTAGGTAATATATGTGTGTTTTATTCAGTAAAAGGTACTGTATAATTATGAGACGTATTATTGGTATTACATTAAAAGTGCTTTTGTGTATTATGAACACATTTTAGTCAACGTTGAGCCTTTGCAAACTCAACATTTTAAAATGTGAAGACTGCATTATTATACATATAATAATATCCAACACGTAAGACATATCCAAGAAAATGGTGTGAGTACTCCAGGCTGGACACTGTAGTGGGTTCATACACATGTATGTTATCTCAGCTGTGTAGCCTATAGGACCAGTGCCCTTGGAGAAAGACCACAGAAAGAAGCAGCTAAGGCTGCACATCATGACTCCCTTCCCATGGATGATTAAAGCACCCTTGAGCCTCCTTTTTTTTCTTTCTTTTTCTCAGAATGAAAAGCTCTTCACTCTATTTTAATGCTTACGCTAGACATTTAGGAATGAAAAATGAAGTCGAAGCTCATACTCATTTTTGTTTTGTTTTTTATTTCCTAGCATCTGTAATAATGGGAGGAGCATTTTAAAAGAACTGACAACAACTAAAATTACAGTTTAGCCATAAATTTACATATGCTAGCAATGATCACATTTCCTCTTTTTCCATTAGCTCTATGTGCATTTCATGGAATCTCATTCACTGGTATCTTAGTTGAATTCAATTTAATTTGCTTAATGACTCCTACTTTCTTATTTTTAAATTGTCAAAAGCAAGTGAACAGTGCTGAAATTCAGAATTCTGCTTAGTATCATCATAAACTTCCAGAAATAAATCTCTGTTCAGAACTTGGAGGCAAGTTTGGTTTGGCAATGACAGATCTCTTAGCTGATGCACTTGGTATACCAAGAAAGACAATGCTAGGGGATGAAGCTATTTATTGATGATATATGTAATTTCTCATTGCTTTTCATGAGATCAGAACTTAAAATACACAGGAGCATAAATCAAGCATGCGAGTATAAAGATGATAGGACAAATATATGTGGGGATAGATGTTAGAGTGGTTTTCTGCTACAAAATGTAACTAAACTAATGAGGAATCTAGTTGTCTTGGTTACTAGTTAAGAGCCTATTGACTTGACTGAGTAAAAGGCCAAGCTTGGTTTGTTTTCCAAGCTTCAAATGGCTATACATGCATACATAATTAATGAATCAATTCACACATTAAACGATCTCCTCTCAAATTCTCCAGTTCTGTTGATTTTATCACCATCCTTGGAGCTCCACAACTGTAAATTTGAGGTTCATCTGTTCATTTTCTTTCTCTAACTTCTTCCTACTGTAATCTAAGGGCTGCTCAGTCTCCCTTCAGAACTCTTTTCAGTACCAATGTCTTTCCATTTCTAGTATCATGGCTCTACTTAAGGCCCTTACCTGGGTCATATCAGTGCACCTACTGCTTTTCCTAACTCCTCCTTCTCCTAAGCTCACTGTTCACATCTATAATATTAAAATGCAGAAGAAATCTACTAAAATCTTTTTACAACTCAGAAGAAATGCATCTAGCTTCCAGTTGCCCACAAAACAAAATATAAACCCCTTAGCTTGCAATTCAAATTTCTTGCCATATATTTATGTTTATCTCTCCCGTTTCCCTAAGCCACTCCCATGCCAGCACACCTTGTCATGCAGAAGATCTGTGTGCACACCCTGTATGTTTTTCTCCTCTTTGCCTTGTTCCACCTAGACGGCCTCCCCATTCTCTTCCTTCTTTTATTAGCCCCGGGCTCACCCTTGAAATTTTGTCTCACCCAACAAGTTCTCAATCAGATCTTTCCTTGTCACTTTAAGAAGTGGACATCTTTCTCTAACTCAAGGAAAACATTAAAAGTTTATATATCGATATAATGTTCTCAAATTCAATGTTTTCTTCCCAAAGGTTGGCTGACTGCTCCTATAATTGATATGGAATGGTATAATTAAGCACAGGCATAGATAATATGTTCCTCTAACTTTTGTAAATCAGTATTTCATGGTGTCCCACAGAGAACGTGATTCCAGGTTCTTCTCTGTCTGAACAAGAAGAACAACTGAGCTATGTAGTCTCTGAGAAAACAAACACATGGCTAAACCTTGTGTATATGAGACAGGCAAAAGCCATAGCTTAACTCTGTCACGTCCCTCTCTGGTTGCAGTGGATCAGCGTCCCTTTCGCCCTGTCGCATTCTTCAGTTACTGACATTGGGTACACTGCTCTGCATGCCAGATACCAAAAGCCTTGGCTGGGGACCATTGAATCATTTGAAGTCTATACTTGGCTTGATAGTTTTCTGCTGTTGGTAAGTAATGCCCTTACCTGAGGAAGGCAATTTCATTTTTCCTAAAATCAAGTGCATTTTTCAGATTTAAGGTTTATATGTAAATATCACCTACTGGCTCATGTCTATTTCTGCACTGACTACTTCCTGTTGGAAGGATGGAGCCACTTACTGACTATGGTAGCTGATTAGTGTCAAAGTGGAGAGAGAGTGAAGCCTTAAAGGGAGAATGTCTACAGGGTGATGTATGGTGTATCCACATTTCTATCGTGCTGTAAGTAAGGAACACCATGCTCTACCCCCAGGGACTTCCCCAGTCTGAGGCCAAGCCATCTAAAAGTTTTAATTTGTATTTTGGATTAGGCATTAAAACCAGCTTCTTCTGAAATAAGTAACCCATTCAGTTTCTAATTACTGAGTAAGTAAATTATTGCCAAAAGGCCTTTAGTGCAGACAGAAGTTGGGAAAGGAGGTGTCATTCAGGAAAGATGCCAAGAAAGAAGCACTGGGAAGTCAGAGACAGCTTAGGAATTTGCAGAACTTCAGGATGAAGGTGTTGGTAGTGAGACATAGGGCACAGAAGAAATAAAGGCAGATCACAGATTGAGGGAAGAGGGAAAAACCAAAAGAACCTGCCAGATTTTGTGATTTTGCTAACTGGAGAGGTTACTTACAAAAGTAAAACACTGTAATTTCAAAATAAGAAATAGATTAATGTTTATATCAAAATTAAGGGGAAATTATTTTTGTTTCCCTTTTTGAGGGTTCACAATATTTTATGATTTCACTTTGTATTTGTGGCACTTTACTAAATTTCAGCACTTAAAGTAGATGTGTCTGTCCCAGTAGAGAAATTCCTGGTAAGAAGGCAGGAAAACATGCAAACAAGCTGTTTCCAGGGGTGGGGGGGAGGGCTTCTTTCCCAAGGATTGTTAAGAAATGTATTGGCTGACATTTTTCTAGAATGGTTTATAATTATGAACTGAATGGAGAAAGGGTTAAATATTATAAGTATGTGAAAATATATCTGCATGGCAGGTATATTTATGGTTATATGGAGGAGATTATGGCACTCAGAGCAGATAGACAGTCTGTTGATAATCACACCATTGTGTGAATGAGGGATTGAAATAAAGCATCAAGACCCTAAAATCATTTCTCCTACACTACACTTTAGTCCTCAGATTTATTAATCTTCAAGATAAGGCATTATATCCAATGACTGCTAAAGTTTCTTCCATCCCCCCAAAATTATATGACTAAGTCATATTCATTCTTCAAAATGTAACATAAGTGGTAGTGAAATGATAGATGTTGAGTGAACGAATGAGTGAACTGTAGAAGTATGCCTCGAAATGTTTTGCCAAGGGTCTCTGATCTTCCAACTGTCTCTCTCAACTTCCACTTGTCATAAGTGACTTGTGGAGTCCTGCTCTGGATACCTTCCACGGATCTCCCAGCCCCACCCTGAACCTGCTCGCTGACAGCATTCCTCAGCTGGCCTATTGTGGTGGCCCTTCACAGTCTCCATGTGGCGGCCCGCCCGCATCTCACTTGTCCAAGCCCTTCTTCCACCTTGCCATCAGGCCTTCTGTTTGTCTGCGGAGGTCAGATTTTACCTTACTTACAAAGCTCTGATGACCTAAATGTCCAGAGAGATTGGCATGTAAATTATGGTGTATCGATTCATACAGGAGTTGAAATTATTAATGAATATTCATTGGCATAGAAAATGTTAATGATATTCTGACAGTCCTGACTTTTAATGGTTCGACTTAACAGGTTTTCAACTTTGCAGTGGGGAGAAGGCGATAGCATTCAGTAGAAACCCTAGTTTGAATTTTGGTCTTTTCCCAGGTTAGCAATAGGGGGTATGATCCTCTCTCATTGTGCTGGGCAGCGGCAGCCAGCCACAGCTCCTAGTCAGCCATGAGAGTGAACAACGGATACACTGACAAACATTCTGTATCCATACACCATGCTGCTTCTCATTTTTGGTATAGTATTCAATAAATTATATAAGGTATTCAACACTTCATTATAAAGTAGGCTTTGTGTTAGATGACTTGCCCAACTATAGGCTAATGTCAGTGTTCTGACCATGTTTAAGGTAAGCTAGATTGAACTATGATGTTCACTAGGTTAGGTGTATTAAATGCATTTTTTATTTTGACTTCAGATATTTTCAACTTATGATGGGTTTATTGGGATGTAACCTCATTATAAGTCAAGGAAGATCTGTATTGATTAACAGGTTGCAAACCAAAGGAAAAGTTTTGGAAGAATACAGACTTGAGGCATGGATTATGAATTTTAGAATTTCTTTTTTTACTTTTTTTTTTTAATTTTGAACATGTATAGCTTTTATACGGAAGAGATTATCCTGGAATCGATATGTAACAAGCACTCTGATTAACACAGAGGTGAGAGTTGATAAACAAGACATCCCAGAATTTAGAGCCCAGTGAGAGAGACAGGCAATTAAAGAAACAACTTCAGTACATTGTAATATGGAAAATTCATTCATCAGTTCACTCATTCATATGATAAATATTTATTGAACACCGACTGTATGCAAGTCAGAGACCCATGGCAGTAATCATGGGGAAGGTATTCCCCAGACTCCTCTTTAGCCACTCCCACACACCCTAACCTTTAATCAAGCCAAAGACACAGTGGTCTCAGAGCTGTTTCATTGTTCTTTTTTCTTTCTTCCTTTTTCACACTGAATTCTCTGCCAGGGGCTCTCTTCTCTCTCCATCTCTATATAGTGACACCCTCTCAATGCTTAAGGACTGACTCCATGCAATTCTGTAGGGTTTCCTGATTACCATGCAGTTGTCCTTCATCCCACTTTCCCTCCTCCCTCTGTTACTCCTGAATAATTAATTTTCTCATTTTTTTCCCATGCATACCTCCTTATAGCAGGCTACAAATTACATTATAGTTCACTGTCTCCAAAATGCTTATGAATGCATATCTTCAGTAAGAATTGTAAGCACACTCCCAATGTAGATATATGTAGTTATGAATTACTTATACATAGAGTACTAATACATTATATAATCATTTAATAAAAAGAATGTAACATATAAGTATGAGGTAAAAAAGAGTATAAATAGAAATTCTAATATTTTATTTGATGCTATTGTCTATATTGTCTTGAGCACTCTGTACACCCCGCTTTGGAAAACAGTGTGTTGCATTGACTCTCCGATATGAACAGGTTTCTCCAGAGCAAGAAACCATTCCCCTCACTACCATCCTATTACCTGGTTCAGAAATATTTATTGGGTTTTATTGATTCAAATTAAAATTCCTCCTTTCAGAATCTTAATTTTTTGAGACAATTTTGTGATGGTTAAAACCTCCAGACGAAAACAGGTTGAAGGCTTCTGGATAGTTGTAATGCAGTTTGAAATAGGTAAATTAAAGAATAGAAAAGGTTGGGCTATGTAATGATGAAGGAAAAAAACTTGAGGAAATTCTGCACAGTTGAAGACGTGACAATGACATGATCACAATTGAGATGTTTGTCATGTAGGACTCTTTATGGCACATCAGAACCATACATTTGACTATTGTGAATGTGACTGTAAAAAAAAAAAAATCTTACTTAAAAATACCTAATAGATGTTGTTTGCCTCCAATTCATTCTGAGTCCTTGTTGTTTCCATGCAGATGCTGGGTGGAATCCCATGGCAAGCCTACTTCCAGAGGGTCCTCTCTTCATCCTCAGCCACCTATGCTCAAGTGTTGTCTTTCCTGGCAGCTTTTGGGTGCCTGGTGATGGCTCTACCAGCCATACTCATTGGGGCCATTGGAGCATCAACAGGTATATCTCTTGCCACTTCACTAATTGACCCACTGAGGCTTCACTGAAGTGACTAATTACCACCCACTGCCCTCCCTCCCCCACTTGCCCTCTTACCCCCACTTAGTTGATTGTTTCTCATCATATTCATATAGACTTTTATTATAGCATTCAAATAATTGTATTATAGCCCAGTGCCTCCAAACAGTTTTTGATTGCTCTCACCACTAATAAAATATATGTGAGCATACCCCCCCATGTTGGTATACTTAAGAATTGTGTATATGTAATCCTGTCAGCAGTGGTTCTCAGTCAAGGTGCACATTGACATCATCTGGGGAGGAGAAGAGATGCTTTAAAAAAACCTATTTCTATCTTACCCCACAGGGATTTTACTTTAATAATCTAAGATGGATCCAGAGACTGGTGTTTTTTAAAGCCCCTTGGTTGGTAAAGTTGGTCTGAGTTGAAAGCTACTGGTTTAGAAATTTAACTGACACCTAAGGACCACTTTGAACTGGAGATTCCTGCTTTACATTCTTAATAGTTTGTTAATTAAAAGTTTTCTTTCTTGGAGAAATAAATCAATAGATGTGCAGGTAAAGGTAAACTTAAGGTACTGAGACTTAGAGAATAACTTACTCAAAATTGGTAAAAAGAGCATAATGAGATGCTTGTCTCCTAGTTAGCCTCTATCTAAGACATTTTTAAAATCTCACAATTAATTTAATTGAAATTGTTAATTTTTCCTGAAACTTACATATCTATGCTATATAGCTTCCAAGAGCATTCATGAAAATACATCACAGTAACCCAAATTCAAAGAAGTCCTGTAGGTAGAAATCATTAAAACAGACTAAAGAAGTTTACCTTTCACTCCACTGTGTTTTGTAAGGATGATACAAGTGATACCCCAATGGCTATTTTGATTTTCAATTAGTAGAGCTACTTATTGGGTTATGTAACTTTTACAAGAGCAGCCATGGCTCATAGTGTACATTCTCCATTCCAGTTGTTCATCCATAGCATAAACAAGCACTTAAAAAGATGACTGACAAAGGTGATTGTGTGCCTTTGAATAAAAAATAGCATTTCTGTCACAATCAAAAAACAGATCTGGCCGTGTACTCTCACGCTTGTGCGTGCGTGTGTGTATGTGTGTGTGTGTTGTAGGACAGCAGACTAAAAAAGCCAATGTAAACTCTATTTTGTTCTTGAATTAGGTACACATTCTTGGTTGTTATTTCTGGTACCATAACGTCTCAATGAATGCTATAAAATTGGCTTCAACAAAGCATATCTTTGAACAACTATAGTGGAAAATGGGGGAAGAAAACAGTGATAGGATTCAAGGGAAACCATTCCTATTTGGTCCTGGAATTATGCCATAGAAGTTCAGCAAATAAAAAAGGAGCTATGCTAATGTACATTTAAAGATTCCATTGTATTCTTCAGTACATGATAGTATAACTAAACAGTAAAGAACTATATATTCAAAGATAAACTTATTTTTTTGTTTGTTTTCACCATGATTGTCTCCATCTTGCATGGTGCACAAGGTATTTTTGTACCCTTTACAATAAAGCCTTAATAGCCATTTTCTAAAATCAATTCGAAGATATAATTCCTTCTATGAATTCTACAGTTCAGCAGACCAACTCATCATAAAATCTAAATAATCTTATAGCCTATTTTACTAGTGGCTTATCTCAGATTCTGTTGAAGAAGAATAGTATTAATGTTGGTGAGTCTTAGACCATTAATGGAGGTTTGTATAAATCAAAACTTTCAGGTTTTTGGCTGCATTTAAAAAATTAATGGAAAATTTTGGAAAATAATGCTGACAGTGTTTAATTGATCATGCAATTCCTTCAATTATGATGAAAAAGACAAACTTTCTGACATAAAAAATACAGTGTCTTATTTTCTTCATAGTATCAATATCAGATATAATTTCTAAGTTTCAAATTTTAAAACTTGAAAGCACATTTGCCTATTTTTTTTTCAAAAAACCGTTTATATATTTGAAGAAACTGCATGTTGCTTACTTGGCTTTGTGGTTTTAAAAAACATTTTCAGACACTTACATATATTACTTATTATATGAAAATGTGTGGTTGTATAATTTATGAATGTAGTTTTTCTAAATCAGCTTCACAGTGTTATTTTGTGAGATAAAAAAATTGGTAATACTCTGTAATGAAATTTTACTCCAAAGGTTAATCTATTGCACTAACTATAATTTGGTGAATTCCCAGATTTGGGCTGAATATTATCATCATTCAGACCTATGCAATCAGAATCTTTCAGGATACTCTGCATTGTAAAGGCATGCCTGAGAGATCCCAGTGTTCATTAAGGTTTGCGAACCACTGAATTAATCCAATGATGATTCTTCTTTTTACTTCTTGCTTTAACAAAATCAAGCACTTGCCCTTCTCTGCCCATTTCTTCCTTATTCTCACAACTGTCAAACTGGCTCATTGCTTTTAACAGCCTGGCCCACAGACTTAGCCAGAGATGTGCTGCAAACAGTTGCCTGTGGATCTCTGGTGCCCATGCCCTCCTGCTTCCTTGAGACTCTTTTTATCTTTTATGTTTTGAGTCCTTTTACACAAAGTCCAAAATCCTCCTGAAGTGCAGGCTTATACCTGCACTTTCTACTCAATAAAGCAAGGACTTTCTTTTACGTATCATGCCTCCAGTTTCCAGGAGGTAGAATCCAATGCAAGAAGGAATTTAGTTGGGAGAAAAATAATGTTGAGGGAGCTCCAAAAACCAAGTTTATATACAGGAAGAGGATGGGTGAGAATAGCTCCACTATCGTCTATACATTAATGAATGTCTGACTGAGGACTGAGCACTGAAACACTAAGTGTCTTCTCACATCTCCGACTGGCTGAAGAAATACTCTATGCTTTTGTTTTATAACATTTGTTTTCTATGATTCTGTACAATTTGATGTCATAATTACAGAATAGAAATAGGTAATAGGTAAGTAAGTAAATAGATGATTGATGATTGTTAGATGATAGATAGATAGATAGATAGATAGATAGATAGATAAACAGGTCTTATGAATAAGGCTAAGTGTAACCAAAACCCATTAGAAGCCAGAATTGTATATAAGACAATGGACTTCCCACCTACTCAGACCAACATACCTAGTTAGATTTCTAGGCCGAATTATAGACTTCTCCTTTAGTTAGACTTATTCATACATTCTGAATTTATTTCAAAAGCTCCTAGTAAATAGGATGACCCCCAGATGGATAAAGAACATATGGTTCTTTGGTTGTTTTTATATGTGTTTTTTCTATTCAACAGACTGGAACCAGACTTCATACGGTCCTCTAGGTCCCAAGGACAAAAATGAAGCGGACATGATCTTACCCATTGTTCTGAAGTATCTCTGCCCTGTGTACATTTCTTTCTTTGGCCTTGGTGCAGTTTCTGCTGCTGTTATGTCATCAGCAGATTCTTCGATCTTGTCAGCAAGTTCCATGTTTGCCCGGAACATCTACCAGCTTTCATTCAGACAAAATGTAAGAATGGTTTTTCCAAATGTAACGTTATTATTGTTGTTGTTGTCATCATTGTATTTATTGTGTCTGTAGTATTATATATTTATTAATATCCTGTATTAAAATCAGACTCTAGTTTGACTAAGCACACAAGGTTAAATAATGCTGAATTTTTTTAAGCGGTACATAAACATTTTTAATGCATGTTATCATTTATGTTGGTATGGAAGGGACCAAATCAACACTAGCATTTTTCGAGAGGTACAGTCATATTGCTATAATTTATATTTCTTGTCTTTCTAATGAAAGAGTCATGAAACCTAAAACATCGAAAAACTTTGAGTTTAATCAAGTATGATAAGAAACTTGAAGCAGAGCATAGTGAGTAAGTTATTTCCTGGGCATTTGTGTAGCATCTGTCCCACTCTTCGCTTGAACTCCCAAGTCTATATTGGTAAGAAAATTGCCTTTCAGTGTGATTGACCTTATTGAATCAAGTAGGTGCAGAACAGCACTGTTGTGTCACTGAGGAGTCAATAGCCCCTATTCACCTTCTTCCTTCACTAAGGTTTTGTCTTTCTCTAGTTTTTCTAGGTCATAGTGAACAAAATGGTTCCACTTGTTTTTAAGGTGGCTGGACTTAAAGATGGTAGGACTCCCAGGAGACAGCAAGCAAGGGTGGGCCATACCTCCTCACAGCCACATAGGAATTATTCCTTAATTGTCCTTAATTCCTTATGTAAAATATATGAAATCCTTTCTTGCATTATTATTCCCCTATGACAGCATGTTAGTTCATCTCTCCTCTGCCCTGCGCATTCAGCGAAAGGTGTAGCTGCCTGTGCTTCTGCACGTGGCACACAGAAACCAGGGAGGCCACCTGGACGGCTTGCTCCCCACGATGTGGTTTAGGTGATTTTGGCCGCATTGAACTATATGAACCAGGGGAATTGTTTACACCAGCTTTAAAGCACAGAGATACATCTCATTCTTCACCTAAATGAGCCAGTGCACTGTGTGAAAAGCTGTTACTGTGGCAATTTTTGCAGGCATCAGACAAGGAAATCATCTGGGTCATGCGAATCACCATATTTGTGTTTGGAGCTTCCGCCACAGCCATGGCCTTACTAACGAAGACCGTGTACGGGCTCTGGTACCTCAGCTCAGACCTCGTTTACATCATCATCTTCCCCCAGCTGCTTTGTGTGCTCTTCGTCAAGGGAACCAACACATATGGGGCTGTGACAGGTTATGTGTCTGGCCTTTTCCTGAGAATAACTGGCGGGGAGCCATATCTGTACCTGCAGCCCTTGATCTTTTACCCTGGTTATTACTCTGATAAGAATGGCATATATAATCAGAGATTCCCATTTAAAACCCTTGCCATGGTGACCTCGTTCTTATCCAACATTTGCATCTCCTATCTAGCCAAATACCTATTTGAAAGTGGAACCTTGCCGCCCAAATTAGATGTGTTTGATGCTGTTGTCGCAAGGCACAGTGAAGAAAACATGGATAAGACAATTCTGGTCAAAAATGAAAACATTAAGTTGGATGAACTTGCACCTGTGAAGCCCCGACAGAGCCTAACTCTCAGCACCACTTTCACCAATAAGGAGGCCTTCGTCAACATCGACTCCAGCCCAGAAGGGTCTGGGATTGAAGATAACTCATAATGACCCCATCCAAATAAAATATTGCTTTCACAAACAGAGCACCACGGCAGGCTAATCTGGGTTGCAGCATATAAAAAATATACTTTAAAAACAAACAGCATTCAGGAAGACAAAAATCCATATAGAAGTGCAATTGCAAAAGTGCAAGCCAAGCTAGAAGGAAGCATCTGTGAAAGCAACAGCTTGCTTTCTCATCGGTATTTCTCATCCTCATTTGATTCTGACTCTAGTTAGTTTTGTTAAGTATTCAAAATTGAATTAAGACCCACTCAAAGAACAGAGGGCCAAACAGAGTATTTATTCTGAAAAAAAGAAGTAGATACAAAACGAAAGAGCCAAGGAAATTAGGTGGACTTGATCCAGACCTTGTCTGTTAATGCACTAGTGGGTCTAGTTTACAGTCGCAGTGAAGCAGGAGAGGAACTTGCCATCACTCCAATGAATGGTGCAACAAATTAACCACTGATTGTCCTGATGTGATAATTAATCCCTTCTTTCATGTTCTTAATTAGAACATTTACTGAATATGCATTTCGTTTCTCTTTTTGTAGTGGCACGTATTATTCTGAGCGCAGACAAAGCAAACACACACAAAATATCATGTTGTGTCATTTCTTTAGGTACAAGGTAATAGGAAAGCAGAATCCATCTTTGTAGAGGAGCACTGGTTCCTTTGAGTGTGTCTAATAGCTACCATATGCATTGAGACACATACCTGGAGGATGGAAGTCATGACTATTAGGCAACCTTAAAGCAATAAATCAAGAAGGCCATTAAGCAGAAAGTGACAGGAAGAAGAGTGGGTTTTCACTTTCATCTGAAGTTTATATAATTTTGCTTCATGATAAAAGAAGTAATGTCTTGGCTTCCTATCTAAATTGGTATTGGAAGTGAAATTGAGCCATATATAAGGTGAGGTACCAGTGTAGCGCCAGTTAAGGTTAATGAGAGACGAACAGCACCTCTTGATAAAACTAGAAAAACAAAACCCTCTCAATTTTGGACATTCATTCATTTATGAGGATGATTTAGTGTCAAGAGAGTGACTCTGTGGCACTTTTTGCAAAAATCAGTCTTAGGTACTAGACAAATCACCACTACAGAGAGTAGATAGTGAATTTTAAAATGCAGAAGAAAGCAGAAAGTAAAAATAAGTCCCAAAGGGAAAAAGCCATCAATTTTAACATTTGGCGTCCACATAACTTTCATGAGGTTGGTCATTAAATATTATTTTACTCCTTTTCTGGAGTTAAAAAATACATATGTGTATATAAATATGCAATGGTTTATATGATTTTAGAATTTTAAATGCTTTCCCAGTAGTCACATTATAGAAATAACCATAGCTGTGTCTACAAAAACAGAGTGAATTGATGAGCTAAAAAATTATCTGAGCATTTGATCCAATAAGGAAAGTCAACATGACTTATTTAAACTAAAGCACATTGTCCAAAAACATTTGTTTTGCAATTCACAGACAAAATGAAGTTAATTCAGTGTTCAACATTAAGTATAAAAGTTGTGTTGAGGAAGCTAGAATTCCTTTTTTAAAAAATTTTTAATTATCTAAAAGCATCAACTAATGCATCTATTTATTATTATTATACATGAATTAAATTCACAGGGTAATTTTTTAAATATGAATTAAATAATTTTATATGTTGTGATGTCCCATATTTTAATGCTTTATCAAAACTTGATGGAGAATATGATGTTGTGTTCAAAATCTTTATAGACCATCATCTATACTTAAATGAAAAGAGAATTCTTTTCACTCATCTATTTGCTCAGAATCTTCTTTATGCCTAGTACCCAGTGGAGTACTTGGAAGGAGCACATTTTTGGAACCGGTAGGTGTGGGAATCCCAAGATTCTCAGACATGGATGGAGAAAAGAACCCAGGGCAGGAAGCTCACGAAGGACAAAGTACAATGATGGAAACATTTGGCATGGAAAAGTGATTAATTGTTGGGGACCGCAGTTCCTGGTACATCTGCTCCTTCAGATGTTCCATGCTCTGCAGCACGCTACCTGAATAATTATTTTTATGCACCCCATCACCCTGAATTTTTGTTTCAACCTATTTAGGCGCCAGCTTCCATAGACGATATCGCCCATATAAAATGTAACAGAGATTTAGGCTCTTTGAAGATATTATAATTTACTATTTTACTGGGCAGCAGTTGTCCAAATATGTTCAGATATGTGCAATAACCATATTTAGATCCAGTGAAATAGAATAAATATTAACAGTGAAAATTTCTTCCATTCCATTCATTTTGTAATAATAGAAAGATAAGGGGGGAAGGGTTTACCTTGTCCAAAATATTAAAAACTAGGTATTAGGATAAAACACATATTTTATTTTCATACTTCTACAATAATTGTAACATGATAACATGGTTTTTGGGTAATTTTAATGTGCTTTTTTTCCCCCCACACATATTTTCCACAACATCAAGCTTGTAGCTGGACTGAAAAGTCAACAAGCTTTCAAACACTCAGTGTAAAATTCAACTTTGTTGCTACTGTTAAAAGTAATGAATTTTATGTGAATGTCAAATGAATGTAAGCTTGTAATAAGTGAATCTAATGTAATGGCTATTAGCTTTTTTATTTGGAAATAATGAATTGGCATTGTATTTTAAACATAAAGTGTGACTTTTTCTTTTTAGTCTTTGAGAAAATTTACTCCGGCATAATGTATAATTTATTGTAAGTTTGCTACTGAACAGACAGAAACATATAATGGTTCTAAACATATATTTTTGTCTGTCAAGATATTATATAAACTATGCTTAAAATAAGTAGATTTGCAACTATACATGTAAATGTTTTCAATGTAATGGTATTGTATTAAACTGTGCTGGTGCAATTCAGGAGATCATTGTCTAGGTTTGGCTTTTTGGGGCCCTCCCTTAAAACAAATATAAGTGGTGCTTGGATACAACTATGCAATGGAATTGAAATAAACCATCTCACTGCTGGAACATATAAAAATATAAAATGGAAATATTGCACCTTGCATAAATCTTAGGGCAATATATGATGTCATATCTCAAAAAATATGAATTATTGTTCCTGGAAAAGAAGTTCTGCCACTGCACACAGGCCTTTCTTTGAGCCAAACAAATCAGTAGACAGAATATCTATTCCATTCATATCAAGATAGCTGCATCTTAAAAACCAAATAGGTGTCTGATAATTATTGATCTAGGATACACAACCAATCACTAAGTGAAGAACTGTCCTCATTATGCTCTAAGTATGTACTTTATATCTCTTACTCTCTCCAAGTGTCTTGAAAAGTGTAATTATATATATCCTCAGAAGAACTTTGGCCTCTTACACCTTCATCATAAACATTTGTGCCTTTGGATCTATAGAGAGGAGGGGCCTAGAATGAGCTTAAGGATGAATGAAGGAAAGAATAAGTAGTTACAGGAAGAAATATACCAGTTTGTCTGTCATCGTGGACACATTTCTGAAGAGCCTGTATTTTGCTTTATCAGAAATCTATACTACAGGGGAAATTATTAGGAGCTAGAAAAGACAATGTGTATTGGAGCCTGTGTATGCTTTCTTCATTTTAACCCTAGTATTAAGAGAGTTTAATATGATCACTAACATTCTCCTCTAAGGCAGATATTCTGAGAGAGGTCCAAAGAGTTACAAGATGATGATAAATGATTACTTCTTTATATTTTATCCAATCACCCAAAGAAGAACCCCAAAACAGTAAAAACAGCCATCTCCTAGTATTTAAGTTCTTTATAATCAAGAAGTATATGGTAGTTTTGTTTTGGTTTTTGGTTGGAAAGCTATGGTTATCTATTTAAAATAAGCACCACCTTATGTATTTTGAAGTCAAAATGCTGTGTTGGTTTATGAATTTTTGAACTAGGAGTAGTTAAAAACATAAACCAGATAAAACCAAAAGGCTAATAATGATAGAGTAGTGGATATTAATGAAAGGAACAACTGAAAATGGCCTCCTGATGGTGCTGCAAAACACAGTTAGAGTGAGTGAGCCACAGCACAAGAATGACTCGGACTCACCGGCCTCTGGCCTGGTTGTAGCATAACAGTAGGTAAGAAAGGAAATGCAGAGTAAGACACATACGGCTTCAAACAGCCGCTCTGCCTCAGACTGAGGATCTCAACGGTCAAAATCTCAGTCAAGGCATTTAACCTCTAGGGCCTCAGTTTCCCAAATGAGAATTGCATTTGTCTGTTACTAGGCTGAAATTATATGATACCTTAAAGGGTATGTGGTAGATAGAACACACTTAACAAGTGTATATGGAACTATAAACATGGCTCTCCAACTGGGAGAATTGGACAAAACACATCTAGCGATTTGGGAAGTTATTTTGCCTGTGAATCTTGTCATATTCAACTAGTTTTAAGCCTGGATTCTAAATTAGGGGTGAAGAAAGAAGAGACATGTTTTAAAGTACATTGACATGTAGGTTAAATTTGCTTTATTTGGTTTTTCAAGGACCTAATGTAACAGAATTTTAATGCAGCTCTGCATGCACCCCAGTTGTGGTCCGTGCATGAATATGAACTTAACAAGGAGTGATGAAGTCTATGGGAAAGCTTATCTCATTATTTGTGTGGGAATTTTCGGGCAATACCACCACCAAGAATACTTTGTGCTTGGAGTAAGAAATGGAAAGCCTATGGGCCATTTGTAGGTTTGGAAAAGTCAATCAAAAGTTTCTTTAGTTTGGCTGTTTTGTGTATTTTTGATCATCCCGTGTAAAAGCATCACATGACTCAATCAATTTTTAAAGGTAAAAAAAATGATAGGAGATTGAAAAAGCAAATTTCGTTTTTTGAAAACCACTCGAAGCTGGCCTTCAAAGCTCATAAATGTTTATGTTGGGGGTGAGAGTGGAAATGTGCTGATGGACACCAATAGAAATTAACATGAAATTTAGAGGTATCAGATCACGAAAGCATTGCAAACCATATTATTCTATATAGGTTAAGATGTCCTGAGCACAGATGGCCATGGGCATAAAATATAAATTATGACTTAAGTGCAGGGAGCACTCTGGATTGAACGCATGCAAAGCAATTGCAGCTCCAACCATGTTTGTTTGTGTTCACAGAGCATGAATAGATACAATGGATGCCACATGATCTATTTTCTGTTACTCAGCGTTGAGCTGACATTTAGCCTTCAGAAAAAATCTAACCCACATAGGCTTCCATTTCATAACAACTTGCTTTTCACCTCATTTTAGTTTTTAGAATAAAATTTCTATTAAATAACACTATGTTTAGTAAGTATTTTCCACATTTCATTTTTCAGAGAGAACAATAAAGCTCCAGTAAACCAGTTCCTACTAAAGATTTTAAAACATAATATAAAATAAAAACCATCTATCTATTTAGCCTTATGCATATTTGATTCTGTCTTCTATTGTTTTTATGCCTATTATCTACAAAACAATTCTGAGATCACTGTTTTTAGAAAGATGGTTAGGAAAAAGCCTTAAAATTAATTTTAGCTCACTCTACCTTCTAATTTAAGAAAAAAATGTAGAGAATTTTAAACAATAAAGCCTGAAGTGAAACCAGTTTTCAAAATTCATGTTGCTGACCTCTTATTTTCTTACCTTCATGTTGCTGACCTATTACTTTCTTACCTTCATCCCCAATTGAACAAGGAGTTAGGAGATGTTACCCTTCATTCATGGTTTAATCTTAGATAAGCTAATTGACCTTTCTTGGTGCCAAGTAATTTTCTATAAACGATGATCTTTAGAGATCTCTCTGACTTGGAATTTGACAACTACATGAGTCTACATCTCTCCTCCACATCAGTCCAAACATACTTTCATTACTTATCCTGGAACTATTCAAATTATCAGATTTCCTGGATCTCAAATTCCTCATTTGCTGTGAACTGAAGCATTATGGAAATGGCAAGCGAAAATTGTGGTGATGGACCTGTTCTGTAACTTGATTGTGGCAGTGGTTATGCAAATCTGTACATCTGACACAACTGCATTGAACAATGGGAATAAGACTTCCCTTCTATCAGTGTTCCTGTGAGAGCCCAAACATTCTGCAACTCTAAATACCATGAGCATTAGCTCTGAGGCCATTTTTCTAGTTAATTGTTCTGACCCAAAGTATAAGAAGACTTCTCCTATACCAAATGAATAACCACAGTAGGGCTCTGGATTATACCCAAGGATGTCAGGAAGACTGGAGTGTTTTCTTACTACATATTTACATTTCAAGAGAAATGAAGCTCAGAACTTGGAAGAATCTCTAGGTCATAAAAGCCAAATTTTGAGTTTTTCTGAATTTTGGAGAGATTTTAAATACTAAAAGGGTTGGAATTAGGACCCATGCCCATTATCCTTCCAAGGAGACAGCTGCATTCCTCGCCTCTATAAGCAAAGAAAAATAATTTTCTTCATCTCTCATCTGTAGAGTATTCACTGTTCAGGAACACTGTGTGCCATATACCATTGCCATAATTTTTATGAATGAGGTATCCTTAATGACCACCCAATCTTGTTGCCTATTACAATAATTGTGTCTCCTGC